GGGTCAGTGAGGCTTGTTTATGCGCAATGCTGCCAGGATCATAGTTTCATGTATTACTTCGAATCTATTGGAGTGCATCAATCACCCAGTTTTGCAATAGCTGCAAGTTGGAAAGCACATTCACTGAATCCTCAACGATGTTCTTGCTTCAGATAAACGGAACTTTGAAAGGACTAACACCCGGTAAACACGGTTTCCATGTGCATGAACGTGGTGATATTGGGAACGGATGCATAGACGCTGGTGGACACTACAATCCACGAGGACAACCTCATGGTGGTCCAGACGATCTTCAAAAGCATGTCGGTGATCTAGGAAACATCATCGCCAACGTAATTCAAATTTCATTTTATCTTCATTCGAAGGAGATATTACGAAATTTAGAAATGAACAAACAAAAATGAGAAATGATCATATGAACAAGTGTTTGTATTCCTCACTGAATGTTTAATTCCGATTCCGGTCGGCAGTTGAGTAGTGATTTTTTAAAACTGTAACACACTGCACATCAGAAAAATGATCACTCGTTTACTCATCTTTCAAGCAAAATGGAGAGGTGAAGCTCGATGTAACATTTAAACGTCTTTCTCTGATTCGATTTCACTCAATCGTTGGTCGTGCCATAGTAATTCACGAGGGAACGGATGATCTTGGCAGAGGCGGTGATGAAGGTAGTAGAATTGCGGGTAATGCAGGTGCTCGTGTTGCGTGTGGAGTTATTGGAATCGTGGTAAGTTTCGGTATTTTGTGCCGTTGATCATTTTAAGTGTCGCAAACAATATTCTTCAAAAAGAGCGACATTCTTCTAAGTGAATCGTGTGGGTACTGACAATGGGCAATAGTGAGTGAAGCGAATAAATCCGAATGTTCTATTAAATAACCGAAAAGTGCTCGATTGCTGGGATACAGTAAGCATTCAACACTGTTAATAACTTACCTCACTTAATCGTAAACGACCGAATCAGTTTGGCAATAATACAGAGAACATATGAAAGCAAAAAATCCACACGGCCATACAGTGCGTGGACATGCCGATGCATGAAACTGTGCTATGGAATTGGTCGCAGAATGCTTGCTCTCGAATTATTTGGAATCTTTAGCTTACCGCTATTTGAAACTTGAAAATCAGGTAAAGAGGATCAGAGGGCACCAAACAAAATTTGCTTGGTTAATGAGGACTCGAAAGCACAACCAATCCGAGCTCACTTATTGAATCGAATTTGACGAGTACAGGCTTAGGCTTACATCGGATGCACCGAGACATGTACTAATGATCGTTATTTCAGTGAAAATTTCATTCGCTGGAAGTTACCATCGGTAACCTCCCAATCGTACGTTTATGCGCAATAATCAACGATGAATTCTTTTGTGATCACAAAAAAATGCAACGTTCAATGGATATTCATTCTATCATTTTCAAAAATAATTCCTCTCTTATGATCATATTTTCGTACCAATTGCAATATTTATGTGACCGAAATAAATTCGATCATATTTTCGTACCGACTGCAATATTTATGTGACCGAAATAAATTTTTATTTTGAAATGCATCACACACTTCAATCAATTCATGTTGCGATATACTCTCAATATAGAGTTTGAATTTTTCTCACTGGCCGTTTTCGTTCTCAATCCATTCTAGAAACACTTTTGAATGATACTTTCGGATAGTTCTATTTGTAAAAACTTACATTGGTCGAGTAATCATCTAACTGTTTGCATAGTTCTATATTGTAAAATTCAGCAGATGAATAGTCACCTATTTTTT